GGGGTGAAGGGCAGGGATGCCAACTTCCTGCCCTTCTGTACTCACAATCATTGCTCCTGAGGACACCTATCACCTGGGTGTGGGAGGGGGGGACCCCACAGACAGACACAATACAAAGGATAGAGAACAATCTGTCAAAAATGGGGATTTTCACCAATCCCTCAGCAAACCGTGTAACCACGCTAAGCCTTTGTATTCTTAACCATAAAACAGGTATAAAACTTTCCACATATAATGCATAGGTTCAGTTCAGTTCCCAAGTATTGGGGTGGAGAGATCGCTATACAAAGTACTGTTTTAGACTCATCAGGATAAGACTCAATATCTCCTTCCCAATCACTTACAGTTTGGTGAGGAAGACAGCATACAAACAACTGCTTATAACATGAGGCAGAATGCCCGCCATGTTAAATGCAAGAAGTGATAAGTGGTAGAAGTCCAAGTGAAAGGAGGGTTCATGGAGGGGAGGATGGGAGAATCTACAAAAGTGTCGTAGATGAGGTCTGGGTCCCTATTACTGAAAGATGAGATGCTGGTGAAGATGTTCCTAAATGAGAGGGCAACCCAGAGACTGGGAAGGGTGACCCACACATAACCAGTCCCACATGGAACAAACTAAGCAGAAAAGAAAAAAGAAGAAATCACCCAGGAGAATATGGATAGGTTTGAATTAGGTACAACTTAAAACTGCTGTATATCATGATACATTATAAACAGAACAAAAACATACAAAATCCTGGGAGAAATTGTCAAGCATATAATAAATAATTTCACATCCTTATTCATAATCTCATACAATTCTATATGAAAACATGGAGGACCTAATAAATAAATCAGCAGATGGAAGTGGGCAACGTAAAAGTAAAATAAAGCTAGCAACATGTGAAAAAAATATTCAGCCTCACTAACTACCAAAGAAATACCAAATAAAACAGCAGGGGAATTCCTTTAGTTAAAAATAAAAATCTTGATCTATTCAGGGTTGGCCAGGATGTAGTGAGACGGGCAGGCATGTGTGAACGCAGCTGGGAGAGTGTAAATTGGATTAACTTCTAGAAAATAGTTTGGCAGTATATATGAAGGGCCTTGAAAATGTTTACACCCTTTAATTCAGTAATTCCACTTCTGGGAATCTATCCTATGAAAATAATCTGAGATGCAAGCAAAGGTTTATGGTCAAAGAGAGTCTTCAAAGAGTTATGATAAACAGTCTAACAATCCAAACATTGAATACTGTTGAAATAAATGATGGTCCGTATCCCAAAGTATTGTAGCCATTAAAAGGTATTCTTCTGCAGAATTTTTAAATCTTTGGTAAAGCTTGCGGCCTTATTTAATTATTTTAAGGCATATATACATATGGCACAACTGTATACACTTTTAACGAATAGGCCAAAACACTTCTGAGATGTTAGAAATGATGGCCTCTGGGTGGTGAGATTCTGGGCACTGCTTTTGTTTATTTTTACCCTGGCTTCACACTTTAGACAATAGGCATATGTTTTTAGAATGAGGGAATGACAAGTCATTGGTGTGTGAAAACGCATAATGAGAAACAGGCCTAATCATAAGGTGTGAATGAAACACAACAAGCTTACACGTGTTCCCTAGGTTGAGGAAGATTTCAGAGGGGCTTTTATTTTGCTTATATTTTCTTCATTAGGGCTGGGAACAAGGGTAAGAAGGTCCTCGCTGTATATAATGATCCAACGTAAGACACTAGAAAAAAATACTTTGAAAACTAAAAATCACCAAGCAAATGTGAAGAAGGGTTCTTATTATCCTAAATGCCTTTACCCTGAAGCAAGGGCATAGAGGACAGGCAGTGTCACTGGGCAGGCAGGGCCCATCAGCTGGGGTGGACACACCAGTGCGGCCCTCACAGCGGCCCCCAGCTTGAGGCCACCTGCCCGCCACTGCCCCTGGCCCTCAGTTGGCAACTTCCCTCTGTGAAGTGGAAAGAACAGAGTGGCCCTGTCCTGGAGATTGTGAAGTTCAGTGAGCAGGCAGGTGAAGTGCTGGCGCTGTGCTGGGCAGGTAGCAGGGACATTATATATGATGCCAGGTGTCCTTGCTGTGATCTGCGACAAAGGCCACAGCCCCTCCCAGCAAAGCCCCACCTCTGCAGGGGAACCCCAGCCCCTAGACACATTTTACCTCCCAGCCTCCAAGGGGACATGACTGACAGGTTGTGCATGTCCCTGCTCTTAGAATTTGAAGGAATTTGGAGAAACCATAGACTTAGGCTATCTTGAGGCACAGGGACAGATAGGGGTGCCATTTTTCCTTCTGTGTGAGGAAGAAGGGGGCAGAGGTGACCAGTCCAGGGAACCACAGCGATCTAGTCACAGAGCAGTTAAGGAACTGAGAAGTTATCTAAGGCTGTGCTGGGCTTCAGAGCTCGGGGTCTCCGAGGACTGTCCTCCATTGCAGCTGGAGTCTGGGTTACATGGTGCATTCGTTTCCTGTGGCTGCTGTAACAAACTACCGCAAGCTTGGTGGCTTCAAACAACACACATTTATTCCCTTAGAGTTCCTGCGGGCAGAGTCTGAAGTCATTCTCTCTGGCTAAGTCGTGAGAGCAGAGCAGGCTCCCGCTGGAGGGTCCACGGAGAATCCGCCCTTGCCTTTTCCGGCTTCTGGGGGCTGCCTGCATCTCCTGGCTCCTGACTCCAAACTCCTGCTGCCCTCATGGCATCTCCTACTTATTAGCTGTCTTTCTTGCTGCTCTCCGTAAGGACCTTGTAATTACACCTCAGTAATCCAGAAGAATCTCCTCTATGTAAAGGTCCTTCGCTTAACCACATTAGTAAAGTCCCTTTACCACATAAAGTAACATATTTGCCGGTTTTGGGGATTAGGATGTGGGTCTCTGGGTGGGTCCATTATGCAGCCATTCACAGATAGGTAACCTAATGTGCAGGCTGTCTGTGAGCCCTCTTAGGGGCCAGGCAGTGGCTAGGGCTGGGGGTGGAGAGGGGGAGGACACAGAGGTTCAGACAACCTGCTGAGAAGATGGGAGCAGACACTAGAGCTGGTCCTAGAGCCAGGGTGCATGGAATCGGTGCTGAGTCCGGAGTACAGGGTTCATGGGGAGAGACAGACAGATGAGACAGGAAAGGAATTTGGGCCCAGATCACAAAGGACCTTGAAAAGCAGGTTTAAAAACTTGGATGTACCCAGCCCAATGGTTAAGCGTCGATCCATGAACCAGGAGATCTTGGTTCAGTCCAGTCCGGGCACATGCCTGGGTTGCAGGCTCGATTCCCAGTAGGGGGTGTGCAGTAGGCAGCCGACTGATGACTCTCTCTCATCATTGATGTTTCCATCTCTATCTCCTTTTCCCTTCCTCTCTGAAATCAATTTAAAAAACAAAAACAAGAAACTTGGATGTGATTCCCTGAGGGAAGCAGGGCCTGGTTTCCCACATCCGGGAGTTACCAAGAATGCCCAGCCAGGCTGGAGACCCATCTGACAGGGCCAAGTGGCCACCTGCCATCAGCTTACAAGCTGAGCCTCAGCTAGACTAGGTTGGGAAAGAGGGCCCAAGGCCACCTCCAGTGCTCCCCTCCCATGAGATGGAGAGAACAGCTTTGCTGTCTGACACATGGGGCCTGAATCCCATGGACCAGCTTCACAACCTTAGGCAAGTTACTGCAGCTCTCTGACTCAGTTTCCCACTAAGGATACGGGCACTGTTAAGACTGCCTAGCTTCCCTGAAAAGCCGATGTGCTGAGGCACACAAAGGCATCCCAGAAGTCAACAGGCTGGACTTGGTGATAGTGCCCATGCTACCGGGAACTGTCCACTGAACCAGAAAATCATGGAATGTTAGGTATTAAAAGTCATCTAACTGGAGAGTCCCACATCACAATCAGCTGGGAGATTTTCTTAAAATAAAATCTAATAAAGACCAGTCTAATTTCATAGCCAGGGTTGGAGGAGACCACCTGAGATGATGCTCAGAGAAGCTGTAGGACCACCCCCCAAGTGGGGATCCTGGGTCATTCTCTCCACCACCCAGCCAAGCACTGAGGTGGATGGGATGGAGACTGCTGAGGCACCGGCTGCCACAGGGATGGAGCTAGAAAAGAGGATGGAGTGTAGGGCAGCCAGGCGTGGGGTGGGCCCTTCCTGCTCATCTCCACGTGGGCCAGAGGCTCCTGCATCCCAAGAGCTGGGCAATAGGAGGTGCCATCAGAAGCACCAGCCCTTGCTAGATGGTCCCAGGCAAAGTGCCCATTTCGTAGGGCATGCTCAGCCAGTCCAGCCTTCTCTTCCCTGGAGCCTGGCTCTGTGCGTCACAGGTTAATTAATTATCCTAACACTTTGTTCTTGATACAGAAACAAATAACTGCTAACAATTTCATTATAAACTGCGTCCTCTCCCATCCTCCACTGGATAATAGGATTTAACTAGAATTTCAGAACTGGAACAGACCTTAGAAATATGGTCCAAACCCCTCCTTTTGTAAATGGAGAGACAGGGGGCCAGAGAATGACAAGGTCAGCATCACACAGCCGGTCATGGAGAGGCCGGTCCAGGGCTGGTCCTCACAGTGGTCTCCTCGTGTTCCACAGCCAAGAGTACTGCATGATTCTAAAATCACTCCAGTGGTGGCATCCAGGGTCAAGAACATGGGGGACATACACTGGACCAGGTAGTCCCCTTGATACCCCAAATACGACCTTAAAGGTAGAGCTATCTGTATGCAGCTGAGGCCCCACCTGCAGGCCGTCCACCTGGCACACTAAAGCCATGGGTTTGAGGACCCCAGACTGTTGAGGGGACGTAGACAAACCTCGGCCACTCTAATCCCCATCACTAGGAAATGAGATCCCCAGGGGGTTGTGGGCTGTTAGGGCTTTGACTTCCTCTCAGCCTCCTGGTGCTGCCCCTGGTTGTGGCCAGATTGAGGCGCCGGTGTCTCAGGCCACTGGGATCTGAGCAGCCAAGCCACCCACACTGACCAGGCCTGTGTCTCTGTGTGCTCTCCAGGGACATCCCCGGGCTCCAAGATGGCCTTGCAGAGTTCCTTCACTTGCTGGAACGGGACAGTCCTCCAGCTCGGCCAGGCCTGCGACTTCCACTGGGACTGCGCCCAGGGAGAAGACGAGGACCAGCTCTGCAGTGAGTAGATGAGCTGCCCTACCCACCCCACCCCAGCCACGCTCACCTCCCTCTCCTGCCCCATCACCCCATGCATTCCAACGTGGACAGCCTTCCTATGTCCAGTGCCATTTGCGTCTCGTCTCAGTGACAACTTTCAAAAGCTACACAGTCTTCAAGAGACAGAGCTAAGATCTGTGGAGTGATAACAATGTGGTCCAGAAACAGCATGAAAGTTAAGAACCAAACAAGATCTTTTAAGTTATGCCCTCAATATCCTCGTGCACAGAGGACATGTTCGGACGAATGCCCAGCTCTGTAACATGACTTTGGAAGCCCGGACTTCCCTCACTTTTCAGTCCTCATCTTTCATCACCCACCACCTCTCTCATCCTCCCAGGCTCCCGTGTACCCCAGGTCCGGCCATATCAGACTGCTTCTCAGCTCCCTCAAACCTCCGTGGCTTTGTGTGTGGTATCCCTTGCCCAGAATGCCCTGTCCCTTCTCAAGTCCCATCTGCTCCTTCAAGACACCCCTCAGGAGTTGGTTCTTCTGGGAAACCTCCTCTGACCACCCCCACAGGACAGTTGGTTCTTCTTTCTCTGGACCTCCTGTCCCAACTCGGTGTATCTTCCACCCACCATAGCGTCCATTATTTTTTAACAGCCTTTTTTTTAGATATAGTTCATATACCATACAACCCGCTCTCTTGAAGTATGCAAGCCAGTGCTTTTTAGCATAGTTACAGTTGTGCAACCATCACTACTAGTTTTAGAACATTTTTTATCACTCCACAAAGAAACCCTTAGAAATCTTTCCCTACTTTCCTCCAACTGTGCCCCCTCCACTAACCATAAGCAACCATAATCTACCTTGTGTTTTTCTAGATTTGCCTGTTTTGGGCACTTCATGTAAATAGAACCATACAATATGTGGTCTTTTGTGATTAATTTCTTCACTTAGCATAATGTTTCCAAGGGTAACCCATGTTTCAGTGTGTATCAGTCCTTTGTGTATCTTTATTGCCAAATAATATTTCATTGTACAGATAACCACATTTTGTTTAGCCTTTCTTCAGTTGACGGGCACTTGGGTTGTTTCCACTTTGGAGCTATTATGAATAATGTTGCTGTGGACATTTATGTACAGGTTTTTGTGTAGACAGATGTTTTTATTTCTCTTGGGTATATGCCTAAGAATAGAATTTCTGGGTCATATGATAACTCTATATTTAACAGTTCGAGGAACTGCCAAGCTGTTTTCAAAGTGCTGCACCATCTTACATTCCCACCAGTAATGTATAACAGTTCTAATGTCTCCACATCCTTGCCAACATTTATTATTATCTGCCTTTCTGTTTTAGCCATCTTAGTGGGTGCACATCCATTACATTTTATGAGGGTGGTTTCCATGTTTCTCTCCCTCTCTGTGGGCAGATGGGGTTTGGTACTCTTCCCTGTACCAATATTTCAAGTGATTCCTGGCACAACTGACACTTTGTTCATTAAAATGAATAAATGAGTTGGAAAACTTGGGCTCCATAGAGGAAAACAAGTTGCTGAGGTCTCATTGGTAGTTCGTAGCAGCATTAGACTCCCAGCCCAGTGCTCACTCCACTTCAATACAGTGTCCTCAGTAGCTATTTGGCTAGGAGTAAACACTAGAGGTTTTTACATTTTCCCCAGGGAAACCGAAAACACAGTACACATGTAATATGAGCTAGAAAATATGCTAGATCCTGGAGCAGAGATGAAAACACAGCACCTGCCCTCAATGCTGAAACTCCAACATGGGGCAGGAGGGGAAACAACAGAACAGGGTCGGGAAGCAGGCAGCAGGTGCGTGCCTGGGTGCTGTGGGGCCCAGACACAGCAGCCAATGCTCACCTCCTAGATACCAGCCCCGTGACACTGGCCTGCAAAATAGCTTTAAAAAGTTAAGTGTTTCCCAGGTCATCTGGAGGACAAACTTTCCCTTGGGGAAAAAAATGGTTTTGTTTATTCTCTTATAAATGAAGCAATAAAGAAATCCATTTTTCAACTTAAAAACTACCTTTTATGCAAAACTTTTGAGGGAAGTTTTCCAATAATGGCGGAATTGTGGTTGTTCAGATCAACTCAGTAAGGAGTTGCAGGTAGGCGCCTTGTCTGCCCACACTGTCTGGCTCCTGGCCTGTCTCACAGACTTTCACTCTGCATGTGGCCCGAATGAACCTAGCCACCACGCTGCCCAGGCTGAGGCCTCTGTGTGTCTCTAGTTATTGGTCTCTGCAGTATTTCCAGCAGTGCCTCTGAGCTGTGTGATTTTGCTTTTGCCTTTTTTTTTTAAGTTTCTTGATGCCCACTTCCCAGCAGGGACACAGGTCAGGCAGGGCATGCCCTGATTTACAATTGGGAAAATGAAACCACAGAGAAGGTAATTGATTTGTTCGGGTCACACAGCACGTCAGGAACAGAGCCATGATTAGAGCATTGAGCCTGCGGGATCTGGCCATTACTGCGAGCTCAGGGCATTTTCCCACCATTCAGGGACTTGCCATTAACAAGTTTCCAGGACCAACTCCAAGCTGGAGGGCAGCCTCGCTGCGGGCCCGAGGGCAGGCACCTGGGGCCCTGTGGCCTTTTCAGTGGCACTTGAGCAGCTGCTCTGACCAGCTGTCGGAATGACAGCTCCACACTGGAGAGTACCCCCACCAAGGTCTTTGCTACAGAAATCGGTTGCTAGGAAGAGAAGTTCAATTCAGAAGGAGAGTTATTTCGATCTTTTTGCCACTCTGATCTTTACAGTACTACCAGCCAATATCCTTCTCCTTGTTTGTGTGCCCCGTTCTCTGTGGGATATTTGCTGTCTTCCCTATCACATTGACTGGTGTTGATCTGGAAACCATCCCCGTGAAGATAGCAACAGTAGTAATAATATTGGCTAACATTTATTGAGCATTTACTATGTACTGGGAGCTGCTCCAAACACTTTGCATGTATTAACTTATTTCACCCTGACAGCAATCCTATGTGATGCCATTACACCCATCTTAGAGATGAGGAACCTGAAGTCCATGGTCAAACTGTTAGCCAGTGGCTGAGCAGTGATTCAGACTCAGTCTGACTTCAAAGCCCACACTCTGAACCACTACAAGCCAGACTCTTGTTCTGTGAGTTTCTAGCAGCTGGTTCTGCCGAGCACAACCCTAGCTATATTTCCACCCAGGAGGAAGGGACCAGAAAAAGGTTAGGGAGTGAGGTGGGGGTAAGATCACTCATCCCCACCTCTGGGCCTCAATTTCCTCATCTGTAATGTGAGTTGGAACATGATGCCCTCTGATGTGGTATGTGTTGATGTCTAATGCTCTTGACCTCACCTGGTCCTTCCCAGGTAGTCTGGAACCTATTAGAATGCTTTCTCTGAGCAGGAGCTCACCTGTTGGGGATGTCCAGATCTTCTAAGGAACCCCCACAAGGGTCACCAATCTTGGTCCAGGGTAGTCAACCAAGCTTGGCCATGGTTGGAATTTGAAGGGAAAAGTAGACTGTATCTGATCAATTCAGCCTCACTCCACTCTCTCCCCAGAAGGAATTCCCCACACCTACTGGGGTTTCACTCGATTCTCAGACTCAACCCCAAGCAATATCTCTGTCTGAGATAAGTAGGGACCTGAAATGGAGGTGGCAGCATTGCCCTTGCCCTTCTCCATCTAATCACCAACCTGTCCATCCACACCTGGTCCTCCAAATCCATCCTTCTTCCCTCATTCCAGTTAAATGTTACTGATTCAAGTGAGACATCCAGGACGCTATCACCCATCGAAGAGTGTCTTCAAGGGCCCCTGGGTGTCGAGCAGTGGCCCTCATGGCATGTGCCTTCCCAGAAAAGGATAAGGTGTTCTCGCTTCATCCCCTGGATGGGTCATTGACTCACCAGGTATTTGCAAGCAGCTCACTTCCCCTCCATGTACTTAATAATCTCATCTATTTAGTGGGGATACTTTTCCTGTCAGGCAAAACAGGTTTTTTTATGTTTCTTTATTGTAAAATAAAACATGTTGGTTGTAAAATATTTGAAAAATCTAGAGAAGTACACAGAAGAAAATTACTATCACCCATAATCTCCCTCTCAGACATTCAGAGATAACCATAATATTTTGATGTATTTCTTCTAACATTTTCCCCCATGACTCTATATTTTCAAGGAAATGTATAACACATATTTATCAAAAATGTTAACCGAGTTGTCACACAGGAAGGAAAAGAAGTGGTGTCATTTGGCCTGGAGTTTGTACTTGGCAGTTCCTGCAGCTGTTGCTGAGGTCACATCTCTGTGACTCCACAAATCTGTCTCTCTTAGAGTGGAATCAGGTGTCATAATTGCCAATGTTGTGGGATTGATTGACCCACACACAGCCCGACTTGCCATCCGGCCAATGAAATATCTGGCTGCAGCCCAAGGAGAGGGTGGGGTAGAGCAGTGCTGCTCAGACATTAGGAATGTTAAAAATACAGATTCCAATTCTGGGGATGGGGTTGGCGTGGGGGACCTGAGAGTCCACACTTCTCACACTTTCACAGGTGATGCGTGTGTGGCTGGTCCCTGGACCACATTTTGAGTGACAGGGTGTAGAGGACTGAACTCACTCCCATTTCATCAGCAGCTAAGGATGGCGATCCTACAGTGTGCCAAGCCCTGCTCGGGTGCCTGGGGTGGAAGAGAGGAGAAAGGGATGATCAGAGGAGGAGTAGACAGACCAACCCTGTGTGCCAGCGTTGTGCTCAGCAATTGGCCTTAGTGGCAATTTCCCAAACCCGGCCTAACCCACCAAGGGCCTCTGCTCTGATGCCCACGCCCACCAGCTTCCTTAGGAGTGGCTTTTTGCTGAACACACAGCCCCGTGTGCTTGCAGTAGTGGGCACCCTCTCATCGCCTCCCCACCCACTCTTCGAGGTCTTAGTTATCACATACATTGTCCAGTGACCGATTTTGCCGACCTCCTGGAAAGAAAGGGGCTTCCAGTCCCAGCTCGCCCTGGATCCTGTGCCAAGCTGGAACAAGGTGGGCTAGGAGGTGGAGAGCCGCTGGCGCAGGTGGAAGGCACAGGTCTCCAGAGAGGCAGCTGAGGGACTGTCTCTGCCTCCGGGTAGCTGGGCTGTTGTAGCGCACCCCCTGGCGAGCTCCCCTGCCCGGGGGAGAAGGATGATGAACAATGCCGCCACTTCTGTGTATTTGCTCAACCCTGTCTGTTTATAAAATGTTTCCATACTCTCTCTTTCATTTTGTCCTCAAAACAGCCCTATGACATAGACCAGTGATGGTGAACCTATAACTCATTTTTTTGGTTGATTTTTCTTTGTTAAATGGCATTTAAATATATAAAATAAATATCAAAAATAAAAGTCTTTGTTTTACTATGGTTGCAAATATCAAAAAATTTCTATATGTGACACGGCACCAGAGTTAAGTTAGGGTTTTTCACAATGCTGACACGCCGAGCTCAAAAGGTTCGCCATCACTGACATAGACACTACTATTACCCCATTTCACAGAGGAGGGAGCTGGGGCTGAGGAAGGAAGTGCTTGCCTGAGGTCGCACAGTAGGCAACAGAGAGGCTAGGCTAGAGTGCAGGTGTCCCACTCCAGGGCTGTTGAGGTATCAGCACCCACGAATCAAGATCTCCCCCTCCCCTCCTGAAAGGGGGAGGCGAGGGTGATGTGCCCTGCAGGCCCCAGCTCAGCCCTGCCTCCTCCTCCCAACGGGAGCCCATCACCTGCGAGCATCCTCCATTGTAGTACCCGGTCAAACACGCTTGTAAAGGACGCTCCCCGGAAGGTCACCAGTTAGTTTTTGCAAAAGAAGTGGCTGTGGGATCCCTTGAGGGGGGCATAAAAAATAAAACAGAAAGGTCTCCTTAGCTGTTGGATTTTTAATCAGAGGAACATGCAGGGCTTGGGGAAACGACTTCTTCAGGGGAGTATAAATGGGAAGAGATGTCCAAGTCGTGCCAGCCTGTTTTAATTTATAATGCTGCCTCCGTGTGAAATGCACAGAGAATCGGGGGAAATGAGCGATAATTCACAAAGGTGCTGTCACAGCCAGGTGCGTCAGGGCCTCTGTGTTAGCCTGCCACTGCCAGGAAGGCGAGACAGAGGAAGGACAGCGCCATGGGTCCAGTCTCTCTTGCACAGGACATAGCCGGGCCAGGGACTGCTGGGCGCTGTCACCACAGCCTGCAATGCCCACTCGGGGCTGAGCACCTTCCCTGCAGCAGTTCTCCCAGTCAGCTGTAGAGCATAAGCTCTCTCTAACCCTCTCCCCTGCCCTCCTCCCTCTGTGGGCAGCGGCGAAATATATGGTCTATGAAGCTGACTGTGGCCTCTTCAGTGGGACCTGAGGTCAGTCTGATGCAGAGAAAAGGATAATGGGGCTATTTATGCTGAGCCAACAGATGCTGTAAAGAGGCTCCAGTAACTGGGATTGCTTGGTCAGGATAGGCGAGGTTCTGCTGCAGTAATAAACCATCCCGCATTTCAGGGGCTTAACTTGACACAGGCCCTGTTCACTGAGGGTTGGGAGAGGGGCTCTGCTCCGCAGGGTCTCTCTGGGACACAGGCTGGCAGGGGCTCCACATCATACAGCAGCATCCCCAGGAACAGGAAGTCTCCTTGGCCCCTCAGCAGGGGAAAGGAGCCTGAAGAATTGCACAGAGCTTTCCGCAGGCTCCATCCAGAGGAGACACACATCCCTTCCGCTCACATTTCATTGGCCAGAACTGCTCAGGTGGCTTCACTTCACTGCAAGGAGGTTGGAAATGGGAGCAAAAAGGAAGTTCTGAGCAGTGTGTCTCTGCACACAGAGGTGATTTGAGGGACCCAAACCAATTCCAGGCCAACACTGCCACTGCTGCTGTTAGGTCCTTGCCACTGGGCTGAGCTTTAGGAGTGTAGTCCAGTGAGCACACGTGGACCTCTCCCTGGGTCACGTTCTTTGTGGGTCCGTGTAAGTTTAGAAATAGAAGAGCTAGGTTCAAGCTGGATTACCTGCTGGCTAGGTGACCTTGGTCAGGTTGCTTAACATCTGTGAGCCTCTGCTTTGTCATATCTAAAACTGGGTTAACAATACCCATTGCTGTGCAGTTGTTATTATTACCAGTTTTTTCTGAAGTTTAGAAAATCGTAAGTTTGGGATTAGGGCCTCTCTTCATCATGATCAGTATCATTAGCCATCGAGGGAGCTGTTATTAGTGAGGACAATGTGGTCACCCTGGCTAATTATTCTTGACTTTGGCATCGTTTGCATTCAGCCTTCCAGGAAATGACTGTCCCTGTGCTCCTCCCACAGGTAAGCTCCCTGCTGGTTTCTACTGCAGTTTCGAGGATGGCTTCTGTGGCTGGTCCCAAGGAACACTCTCACCCCACGCGCCCCAGTGGCAGGTCAAGACCCTAAAGGAGGCCCGGTTCCAGGACCGCCAAGGTACTGCCACTCCTCTCCTTCCCCCTGGTGCCCACCCAGCCAGATGAGAGACTTAGGGCACCGCCCAGGGCAGCTGGCCCTGCCCCACCCTGCCGGGCAAGCCTGGGTGGGTGGCTGTCCTGAGCTTGCCCTGGGGTGCTCCACACAGTGTCCTCTAAACACTTCCCTGGGCTTTAGAATGACTAAATCAGGCCCAGGTAGATGCCACCTTTTGTTCTTTAAAATGAGAACCTTGATGAAGGGTTAGCTGAAATATAAAAATAGCAGCAACAGTAATAATAATCCATTTGACAAGTATTTTTTGAGACCTACTGTGTGGCAGGCCCATTACTCATTGAGAGGTAAGGAAAAGTGTAGCCCTCTTTATGACTGTATATTCTGCTCATCGATCATGGTCTCTGTCCCCCACAGAACGAAACCACAGCCTTTCCCACAGGCAGCCCTTCAGATATTGAAAGACAACTGGTGTGGCCCACACACCGAATGAGGGCCTTCCTCTCCCCAGTCACATAAGCCCATCAACTCGATCCTTCCTCAAGGGTGGGCGGCATGCTTTCGAGGATTTCTGGCCCATCCTGGTTACTCTATTCTGGACCCACCCGAATTGTAACTTGGTAGTAACTCATTAATGAACTTCGTTAAGAGACAGAGAAAAGTAGAAATGAATGACTAAAGTCCTGCCTGGACTTCTGTGGGGTGCCTAAAAAGTTGTGGGCTCATGCTGGCACCTGTCTCCATAGCACTGACCACCTACAAAGTGCCCTGCAGTCCTGGGGGTTTACTGACGCTTCTCCCACCGGCATGTGGGGCTGGAGCTCCTATTCTCCCAGGTTCTCAGGCAGATTAGTGTTTAGGAACAAGAAATGAATCTTGGTCAGGCATGTGACACTGGGTGGCCTGGACTCCAGGAGGGGGAGAAGAGAATGAAGGTAATAGAGACCATTGCTGGGCAAAGCATGGGCATGACTGGAAATGGGGAGCGATGGGGCTGGGGCAGGTGGTCCAGGGCACTTCAAGCTGCTCCTGGCCTCTGGGCTAAAGCTGGTGACCCTAAGAGATCAGGGATGCAGAAGCTCAGCTATCTGATGCCAGGACATCACTGGCCCTTTGGAATGAAGACCTTTGCAAGCCAAGTTCTGTGACAGTGACAAGCAGGCTGTCTTATCCATTGGAGGCAGCAGAAAGCTCAAAGAGGCTGGAGGAGATGTTCCCATGAACCCTGCACTTATTAACCCTGCACCCCCGGGCCCTTCGGTGCGTGATGATGGTGCAGCTTTGACTCTTTTCCTCTCTGCCCAGGCCACGCCCTGTTGCTCAACACCACTGAGGTCCCCACTTCTGCGAGTGCTACCGTGACCAGCTCCACGTTTCCCGCACCGATGAAGAACTCTCCGTGCGAGGCAAGTCTCGATGTTCCTCTATTCTCTGACTTCTCCTCCCACTCTCCCCTCTGCACTTCCAGATGAACCCAGACAGTGAGCCAAGTGGCCTGAGGTCAGGATGCTTGTTCTCCTGGAGGGAGGGCAGTAGGGCCACTTGCGCCATCTTCCAGGCAGACAGAGCCCACCAGCGTGGTAAAGTCCCATCTGCAGAGAACCTCACCTTAAACACCATCCTCAGCAGCACTGAGCTTTCGCAGTGGGATCTTGGTTTAAGCAAACCCAGAAAACACTTCCAAGGCATCACAGGGGAGGGTAGCGGTGATTTACAAAAGACTTTCTACAGAATCCTTTTTAAAAATAGCAATCTCTTGTTATCCATGTCAAATGTTACAGAGCATCAGAAATTTGATTTACATCGATTTCACTAAGACAGCAATGGCATTCAGTGCGGTACCTCGAGAGTCACTTACCCAAACGGTTCTTCCAGCTGTTACCTCTCAGGGTGAGGATGGGGGGAGTGGTGCCATGTTTCTTAGCATAAGGTCATATTCTCTAAGGCCCAAGAAATGTGCTTAGAACACGGTCCCAGTCAGGTTCCACCCCTGATTGGTTGTACTATTTATGGGGGCAGTTAATAACCTCTCAGGGCTTCAGTTTCTTCATCTGGAAGGTGGAGACAATAAGAGTGCCTACCCCAAGGAGGTGAGAATTAAATAGTTAATGTGTGCCAAGGGCTAGCATAGCATCTGGCACAAATTAAGCATGACAAGAGTTAGCCAACAGTGCCCGACACCCTGTGTAAACACACGACAGAAGGTTGGGGGAGGAGAAAGGGGACTCAAGCCAAAAATCAGACTCTCAGCTCCGGGCTCTGGGAAGGTGGGGCCCTGACTGTGCTTCTTTGCCCCCCACCCCCCACCCCCCCTTAAAATACCTTGCACACAGTGGAAAGCCTATGGTGGATCCTCTCTTTCTGGAAACTTATAGGAGAAGTTCCTTGCTGGCTTGTTTCAGGAATAGCTAGTTGCCCGCTGACTAATTTGTTTCCCTTCAAGCTGTGGACTTTGTGAAACTGAGAGCTTCGCTTCCTCCCTCCTGGCTGGTAGAACCCCAGGGAGCTGCCGCTCTGACCCGCAGCTTCCCTGCCATGGGGTGCAGGCAAATGCAAGCCTTCCAGGCTTTTTGTGGACTAAAACTTCACAGACATAAATCGAATGAGAATGGAAAAGACATACGAATGAACTTTTTTAATCAGAAGAAAGGGCAAATTAAATCTGAGGCTCCCTTCTTGGTGAACAAACAGGGTTCCCTGATGTGTTGTTTGCAGCAGCCTCACCCTTGGTCCCAGTTTATAACAACATCTGCCCCACCTTTCTCACCCTCTTCTAGTTTATGGTATCTGACTAGATTTTCTACGCATCTCTGTGAGCTACCTTAAATCCTTTTTGGAAGAAGTCGGGGCACAAATAAATAGATTCATTACATTCAATTGTATTTGAGAAGCCACGCTTCCTGATGCAGATGGTGGAATTACACAGTCATCATCATCGCTGATATTTCTCAGGTGCCTCAGAGCAGGCGCCTGGAAAGGAAGGCTTCTTAGGAGGAAATCTAAATTCGGAGAGACAGTGGCCCACCTGGGAGGTGAGGGGATCCTTAAAAGCATTTGATCTTTAAATTTACTCTTCTCTGGATTTAATAGAGCCTGATTTTAGAAAAAGAAATGTCGAGGTGAAAATGATATTTTCTTAACACTCCATCATTTCTCTAATAACCTTTGGGTTGATCAATAGCTTAAATGCGTGTTTTTGTTTTACTGGCCTGTTTTATTTTTCCTCCGGCCACATTCGCTCGGGGCTGTTTCTGCTGTTTCCAGCCCTGTTCCAGCAGGTGGCTCAGCAGGAGTAATGAGGGGAGGCAGCGAGCCGTCCCTCAGCTCAGAGTCGTTTCCCATTCAGGCTCTCAGACATTCATCCAGGACTGACGGGTCTTTGAATCCCCAGTGCTGGGGAAGTGTTTTCATCAGAAAAATAAATAACCAAAATAGAAATATGCATTTCCAGGGTCGTAAGCCTTGCCATTTATTTTATCCAAATCCTAAATGCAGAGGCAGGAACTTGATGTTCTTCTCCTGGGTCTGCTGAACGTTAGTTACAGGAAACGGATGTTGCGTTGCTGTGTGAGACTGTGTGAGCTTAACCCTGCAGACCTACAGGGGCTTCTGTTGGCTGTGGGGCCCGAGTGCAGGAGGGTGGGTGCCAGAGAGAGCCATGGATGGTTTCCAATGAGAGTCAGGTCCAAGGGGCTGGCAGCTAGCCACGATGGGCTCTAAGGCTGATACCCACCACCGAGCGTCTTCTCCAAGCCCAGAGCAGGCAGGTCCGTGGGACCTCCAGGGAGTTGAAGTACTTGCAGAATATCACAAAGTGCTTTCTCAAGAAACCCCACAATCCTCAATGGATTCCATAGGGGAACCAGTGTCACCAATACATTTCCATGAAAATCTAAATACGTGTTTCTCCAGTTGCAGTCACTTGTAACATGTAGTAAATACAGATTCTTGGACGCCACCCTGGGCTCCCTGAACGGCATCACTGAGCAGAGCTCAGACTCTGCATTTTCAAGCCCCACCTCCATGATGTGGATGCAAACTGAAACTTGAGAGTACTTGGCCAAAGTGTTCTTGCCAATCGTGACTGAAATTTATTCTGAGCCCATGCTGGGAGTTTTCCTCCAGTGCCTGTGGCTCCAAATTGTGCCATGTAATTTGCCTTTCAGAAGGATAAGTGAGAGAAGGAATTAGAAATGACAAGGTAGCCGAAACCGGTTTGGCTCGGTGGATAGAGCGTCGGCCTGCGGACTGAAAGGTCCCAGGTTCGATTCCGGTCAAGGGCATGTGCCTGGGTTGCGGGCACATCCCCAGTGCGAGATGTGCGGGAGGCGGCTGATCGATGTTTCTCTCTCATCGATGTTTCTAACTCTATCTCTCTCCCTTCCTCTCTGTAAAAAATCAATAAAATATATTTAAAAAAAAAAAAGAAATGACAAGGTAGAGGACAGAGGCGGTGAGACAGAGGCGCTGGGAGAGCACCCATCAGAGCCCACAGGGAGCCAGGTCAGGTGCCCACCGATGATGGAGACATAGCCAGGGTGTGCCTTTGTGGTGCCAGCCACCTTCCAGGGCATTCCCGAAGCATGCCAGCTCTGGGCTCCTCCAGGCGCCTCCAGCCGCTGCCTCTCGCTGTGCTGGCCTTAGTGCAGGCCCTGCCTCCTCCACCACTCTGCACAGTTGCATACGGGGCATGAATATTTAAAGGCCTCTGCCTGGCCCAGCCACAAATGAGAGCTTTGTGGGGTTCTTGTCCCCCCTATTCCCCAACAGCTATTCTCTGTGGGAAACTGGGGAGTCACTTACAATATATTCAGATTTTCTTTTCTTTTTCCTTTTATTTTGCTGAACTCCAGTTCAAATAATTAAAGTTGCCACCGGGGAGGGGAGCCTTGCAGTGGCTGTTATGTGTTGCTTGCTGTCAGACCTGCTTGCGTCCCCTTGGCTGGAAGACACACTCGGATGTGTCTAGCATCGCAGCTGCCAGGAATAAAGAGGCCGGGAGAGTGGCAGGGCCGTCTCGCCCCGCCCCCTGCCTTTCACACATCCTGGAAGCCTGAATGTCTCAACAAGCCCCGTGTGGCTTGAGATTCTATTTTATTTGAATAGCCTGCCTGTGACTGGAATATTTTAAACCATGTTCTCAGGAAAGAACAAGGTCTGGGGTGGGAGGGGGAATTGGGTTTCCTTCATTCTTTTTCCCAAAAAAAAACATGGAGCAGTTTTCCTCCTATGAGCTGCAGGAATGGAAGGACCCAGGAAGTATGGGATGAGGCCCACTCGACTGGGGGGAGACCCTAGGGCAGGGCAGTTCCCAGCTGCTGGTTGTCTGACCCTCCCAGAGTGGCAGCCACCCTGTCCTCTCTTTACACACATGGGTATACACTTAGACCACACACACACACACACGGGACCCTGGGACATGGCCGGGCCTCCTTTCTGCCCCTGACGTCAGTCCTATGGTGGTAGAAGGGGTAGCTTTAATTAGCCACTCAGGGCAGGAGGTGACCAGTGGGCTCCTCCATGGCGGCATGAACTACCTGGCCTGCCGGGAAGGAGGCCTCCCCTCATGTCACTAAAGCCAGCAGATGTGGCCCTGAGGGATGTGGGAGAGGAAGCTGGCACCTGGACTGCCCTCTGGCATCCGTACACCCTGCTCGCAGCCCCACTGAGGAGCCCCTGTGGGAGGAGTCTGCCTGTGACTGTGCACAGCTGGCCAGCAGGGCAGCCAGGCATCCCTAGGACACAAGAGCATCTCCCCTTTCCCAGGGGACCCCCTACGAATGGGGCAGCAGCAGTAAATGAGGGGACAAGAGAGAATGGAGAGGAAGACTAGACGGAAGTCACCAAGGCAGGGAGGGAGCCTGGGAAGTAACCAGAGCAGGTCACGTGCCCCTAGTTTCAGAAGCCCAGATGGGGAGCTCCTGCACCAGTACCTCTCTCTGTGTGACCTCATGCCCCCCCCCATCCCCCTAATTAAGCCCACAAAGAGCATGTTTGGCTGCCCTACCCCCACCCCATGAGTCCCTGAGCTGATGCTGGTATGAGACTCCAGGCCTTAACTCTGGCAGCCACTCACCCCAGTGATGGGACCGTCATCTCAGAGAGCCTTGGGCTGGGGCCTAAAAATATGCCTCCACATCAGAAGGAAGGAGCAGTGCTTCCTGAGGCATTTCCTAAACGGCTTTTCTGAAACCCCACTGGATGAGTAGGAGACTTGGGACCCCACTTTCAGAAGCTAACGACAGCCATCTCATGCACCTGTAATAACGTCACTGCTGCAAGAATGCCTAGGCACACATCAAAGACTGCAGAATTGAAATCCTCCCTGAGGACCCGGCGATGCCCGAGCATGCAGAACCCGGACTCACACCTGAGCCCCACACTTCCAAGGTGCCTGCTCAGAGGCTTTCTCTGAGGAGTCAGCAGCCTCAGACGAAAAGGGTGGGCAGCTGCCGGCCTGGACCAGAGAGGCAGCACAGAGGAGATCTCTTTAGACTCAGCACAGAAGTTAAGGATAGGTCCTGGTCTCCAAGTTACTTATGGGTCACTCAGCTGCATTAATTATTTAAAATAAATTCCAAATTCTTAGCCAGAGCCTTCAAACACCCTGCCTCTGTGTACCACGAGGAGAAAAAAGCCTTCCCTTAGTCAGGGGGCTGAGCGTAGGGACCCTTCATAACTGCTAAGCCAACATAGGGAGCATTTTTTATCTATTACTGGCTTCTCAGGTGGCTGGCACTGTGCTGAGTATTTCATTTGCCTTATCTCATTACCGGAACAGACCTGTGAGAGACTTACACTCATTTACTGACGCGGAACCTGCCGCTCACAGAGCTTTCAGGACTTGTCCAAGGTCACCTTGCTAGTGAGAGGCAGAGCCAGGATGGAAGCCAGGTTTGTCCAACTCCAAAGTCAGATCTGCACACACTCTGAGGTCACTGAACTTGACTTAGGTCACCTGAGTTTGAATCCCAGCTCTGCCACCTATGAGCCATAAGACCACAAGCACTGCCTCTAACTGGGGATGGAAATACCTGTTTTACTTGCAAGGGTCAAAGAAAAATGTGCAAACTATAATCCCTCCAATATTTTATGAATTTCAGTGATTATTATTATCCCTCTTCTTCATTTGCACAGGCATGAAGGAGTGAGTGCAGACACAAAGTGAGATATTGTGTGTTCTTACTTCTCCTCTGGGTCAATCAGCACCGTGCAGGCAGGTCGGGAGCATCGTTTTACACAGAGCCTAGCATTAGTACCAGGAGGATATGCCCAACGAAGCCATGTAATCAATAATAATGTTAATTAATTAATTGGGCAGCCCCTCAGTTGTGAGCATGACCCTGGTTCAGGATAAGAGCTAACAAGGAGACTCCTCATTGATTCTCAAGGGTCCACCAAGTGTGGTCCCACTGAGGTTTCTGAGCCCAGGGAGTTCTCACCTCAGTACCTGGAGCTGAGAAGCTGCTGGATCCCGGCATTCTGTCACCTCTTATTGTGATGCGGTTGACACTGCTGGGACTCATGCTAATGGGCTAAAGTAATCAACAGCCATTGTAATTGCAGTTGGACATAATTAATTTAAAATCTTTGAGCCATTCAAAATTAATACCTCTGCCATTACATGATGAGACAAATGAAGAATTACTGTCAGGGCTCTGGGTGTGAATAAAACCCTCGGGCACTTAGCAGAGTTTTGGATCCCCTTCAAAACCCGCGTGTTAATGCGGACCCTCGTGGCTCCCACTGGTGACTGGGATAACATACGCAGGTGGCCAGATACAAGGAACCCTGTTGAAAACACAGACTCTCCCCAGCTGTCAAATAATAAACACTCCCCGGTGTCTGTGTCTGCAGACACTCCTGGGCCTGGAGTCCCCTCTCTTCCCCATGGCTGTCTGGAAAATAGTTTCCCAGCCAGGGGATTACAAGGCTACTTCACAGCATCGACCCCATCACACATGGAGAAACTGAGGCACAGAGGAGGCTGGTAGCCCAAGGTCACACCATTACAATGCAACTCAAAGGAACATGTCATCTTTTTCTTCCCATAAGACTGGAAAGATCATTTTCTGGAGAACCTGGGAGATAAAACACTGGACTAAAATGTTGAACACAATCTCCTTCACCCGGCCTTATTGTGTGTGTGTGAGCTGTTATCTCTAACATGGGATTCCCTGCCTGTTCTTTCCAATACAGGAAAAAGGAACTGACATTGAGCAAAAGTATTGGCTATGCTGAGCAGTGGGCTCCCATAATCTCAGTAAAGTCTCCCAGTAAATCTATAAGGAGACTAGGATTGGCCCCATTTTACAGATGAAAGCTGAGGCCCATAAATGACGACAGGACCGCTTTTTCTGATTTCAAAGCCCCCGCTCTGTCCTCAGCATGACCCTACCTCATTCCCCCAAGACAAATGATGAGACAAATGAAGAATTACTGTCAGGGCTCTGAGTGTGAATAAAACCCGCGGGCGCTTGGCAGAGTTTTGGATCCCCTTCAAAACCCGCGTGTTAATGTGGACCCACGTGGCTCCCACTGGTGACTGGGATAACATACGCAGGTGGCCCGGATACGAGGGACCCTGTTGAAAACACAGACTCTCCTCAGCTGTCAAATAATAAACACTCCCCCAAGGCTCCACCTTCTCTTGTTCTTCCTTGAAAGCCCTCAGTTCAGGCCGAGGACCCCAGCCTCCCTGAAGTGGGCGGGTGACACCCTCTCCTTTCCCACTTTCCAACAACCTCGCATTCCTCCCTTGCTGCTTTTTTTTTAATATAGTGTTTATTGTTTTTTTTTCTGATTACAAAAGTGCTCTATTTTTATTATAGAACATTAGGAAAATACAGGAAAGAATGAAGAAGAAAATTGAAATTGCCCACAGTCTTACTCCCCAAAGACAACCTCTGTTACCACATTGGTACACTTCCTTCCAGGAAAAAAAATGCAAGTTTGAGCAGAGTGAGCGATAAAGGCTTCTACGTGCACTATCACACCACATAAGCCTTTTGTGTCTTCTTTCTTCATGTTATCTTTTTTCTATATCAGTATTATTCTTCATAAACATGCTTTTAATAGCGGTGTGACCTAAATTTATTGTATTGTTTTTGTTCTAGTTGTCAAAAATAATATACGTTCATTATAAAAAATTTCAAAAACACCAAAAGGGAAAAACATAGCTGTAACACCATAACCTCACCAGCCAGGGATCCCACGGTTATTATTTTTATACAAAGCCTTCACATTCTCTTGCTGTGCTTTTACGAAGGGGGCATGTGGATGTCCCTGCCTGGGTGTTCTCTGGCTTCACTGTGATGCCTCAGAGACAAGGAGGCATGGGATGCTGTTTTCAAACGGATCTCAGTCTTTTAAGTCTCCTACCTGGCCAGGAATCCAGCATTTCTTAAGCCTCTGTAATTGCAAGTATTTGCCAGCATATTTAATTTGCTCATTATCAAAACTCCGCATCTGGCCTGCTTCTTGCTGTGTTGGGTTGATTTTTCGTTCGGCTATTTATAGCCAGAGAGTTAGTGTTCATTTTTTCCAGGTGAATTAGGAGGTGGTGTACAAGAACACAGGTTTTGCAGCGAGTCAGTCCTCTCAGTGAAGTTAATAAGGGGCCATGTTGAAATCAAGGAACTTTTAAAATTACAAGTTCACACCCAGGAACACAGACCTGTGGCATCTCAGGTGGGGAAGGCTTTTGAACCTCCATTCAAGAGCTTGGAGGTCCCTGACAACAACCCAATCCCAGTCATTACATGTGGGGGATATCCAGGCAATATCCACCATCCGCCTCAAGCAGGCACATCTTTGAGCATCTCTGTCTGTTAAGAAATGTTCCCTTTTGTGGAAGTGAAATACACACTAGAATCTATCCGTGGTTTTGATTCGACTGTGGAAATGCATGCAGCCCTTCAGAAAGTCACAGAAAGATAGCACCTCCCCCCTTGTAGCATTTCCTACATTTGGGGTTGCATGCACAGTGGACATTACCCGATACCTTTGATTCTCTTTTGTCCAACTTCAGCCTAAATTCCATGCTGATATGTTTATTTATGGGCTCAAGAGGTTGTTGTGAAGTTGCCACAAGGTATGCGTAGCAAGCACGAGGCATGTTCTAGACATAAAATTGCCGTAATTGCCTCTGGGGGAGGAAGGGCCATGAGAGAATAATTGCATTAGGCCCAGCCACAATGCAGCTCTGCTTTACATGCAGAACTTTAATTAATGAAGCGACAAACACTGGTGGCACATAATTGGAAAGTCTATCAGACCCACCGAGAGGGAGGGAGCAGAGGCCTGGTGAAAGGGCTGGCTGGAGCCAGAGATAGAATTGCTGGGGGCGTGCTCCTGGCCTTGTCTCTTTCCACTTGTCTCATTTGCTGTCTGCATATAAAAGAGTTTATTAGTCCAAAGCTGCCATTTATAACATATCTATTAGGGCGTGTAGAAGGATCAAAAATTTTACTGTCACAGGCCCCAACGAGTGTTCTTTCTCATAAATATTATTTAGCATTTGTATAAGATTTCCCATATTTGTGTGAATACTCTTGTTTTATGTATATATATACACATACACACACATTCACATATATGACTATTCATTGTGTGGCAGAGGCAGTGGTTATAAATGGTTTAAAATCCACTATCTCCCTAGTTCCCCCAATATGAGGGCATTTCTGGGAGAAGGTCTTGTTAAAGACCTACCGATTGAGCAGGTAGGGCCTGAGAGCTGGAATTTCTAAGAAGCTCCCAGGTCATGCAGCACTGCTGGTCCCCAGACCACACTTTAAGCAACAAGGGTCGAGAAAACCTTCACAGTTCACCCAAAAGATTTAAGTGCATATCACCGCAATATGTCATATGTATACATCAAAACAGATATGGTAGAGAGAACATAGAACACAGTGTGATATTCAGGTCTGCAGCATATGGACTTAGTGGCCATGGGTGAAGCACTCGCCTGTTGAAGCTTCAGTTTCCATATCTGAAAAATGGATATGATAATACCTCTCTCTACTTATTGCGAGTATAAAATGAGACAGCGTATATACAAGTGCCTAGCACAGCTCTCTAGTATTCAATAAACATGTAATTATTTTATCCTATAGGCCACCCTGATAGAAATTGGTCTTATTAAGATCAAATTCCAAGAGTGTTTTTGTTCTAGGCACCGAACAGTGACCCAGGTCTACCTGGCATGGGTTTCTACACATAATGATATCAAAGGGATTCTTTAACCTAGGAAAATGGAAGACTTTGAGAGGGACTGGAGCCTGTGATCTGCTCTGGGAACCACAGATAGTTGCTCTATTCATTTAGACATAAGTAACTCATAAGGGATATTCGGCAAGAACTGACATCAGTCCTCCAGTTCTTCTAATTAAGAAAACTGGTGAGAGCCATCCACTGTGGGTCCAAGAGGAGAGTTCAGGTCTCGTTTGCATTCTCAGGTCAGCCCTGCTCACCCAGCCCAGGGATTTCTCACTCTCAGGGTTGTTCTCATTCTTTAACCAGAGGTGATGCAGCAGCCACCTGCAGGCCTTCTGATGAAGGTCCTGTCCTCCCCTACAGGAAAAACACTCCTTCTACACCTTGGCAACGGTGGGCACATTTTAAGCCATTTTTTTAGTTATTAAGAATTGCCTCTTACTCCAAGTCCAAGATGAAAATGGGCTCCTCACTGAGAAGGCCAGGCTACTTCCTGCACTAAGTGGTCCCATCTCCCCAGTGGTCTCAACTGAGGCTGCACTTTAGAGTCACCTGAAGAGATGTAAAAAACTGCTGAGGCCCAGGATCTGCCTGAGGCCATTAAATCAGAATCTCTGGGGTGAGAGCGTCGTTGATGAGAACTCCAGCTTGCACAGGACATAGTTTACCTTGCTTTCCACAATAACCATTGTTATTATAGGATGTGAACAGGAATATGTGGGGCAATGCTATGCTGTAGTTGTCCTAACTTTTAAGTGTTTATAGATTGTTTCTATCAAACATACAACCTCTATTACTTTAAACACAAAGACCGGAGAGCTTGTTTATAGTATACACTGCCTCTGGGCATGGCTGCACTTAAACTTTCTTAGAAATATTAGTTATATTTCCCTTTCATATGTCTAGGGAACAAATTCATAGAAACCTTTAATAAATGCATACTGACTACATATGATTGTGGCTTCCTTTTGGCAAAGAGGGCATTCTCATTCTGAAAGACAACCATTTTAAAAGATCTTAATTTATAGAGTTTTGACTCACTCACCTTTGCATACCAATGGCCACAGGTATTAAGTCATAGGGTCTTCAGTTAGCTAACACATGACATAGACCCCTTGATATCACCTCAGAGGAAGAATCTTGTGAGTTTAGGATGATGACATCAATCTGAACAAAGTTCCAAAATGGCCCATTGATTGCCCCTGGCCAGCTCCTTGAACCTTAAGTAAAGGCCTTTGGGAGAGAGTGAGCAAGATCAAGTACAGGGCATCAGCTCACCTCACTGAGTCTCCGCAACATCCTGAGGGTTGAGAGTTTCAGAAAGAGGCCCTGAAGTTCCTTTAACACCGTGTCCTCTGGCTCTTCTCTCCCTTGCAGCTCCGAATGTCCTGGCTCATCCAGGGAGTCTTGCGGGGAAACGTCTCCTTGGTGCTGGTGGAGAACAGAACCGGGAAGGAGCAGAGCAGGATGGTCTGGCATGTTGCCACAAATGAAGGCCTGAGCCTGTGGCAGTGGACGGTGCTGCCTCTTCTTGACGTGACTGACAGGTGGGCCTCTTCCCATCCCTGTCGCTCCTTTTCCCTCAGCCAAAATGCAGAGGGGTCATGACTTCCCTCCCCCATCCTCTCTCCCCAAAACACACATCCAGATGTGCACATACATGTGTACACACAAATGTGTGCAAGCACACACACACACACACACGCACGCATGCGCGAGCGTGCGTACTTTCTGCAGGCTTACAGAGAGTACCAAGTTTCTCTGAGGGATGTCAGTGCTAATGAGCATTCACCTCCCACATCTCTGGCCTGGCCTGATTGGCTGCCTCCAATAAAATGGAACAACTCATGTCACCCCCAAATAATAATCAGGCTTTATATGTACACAGCATTTTCTCTTAATTAATGCATTTTTTCTTACTCTCCCATTTGAGTATTTATTCCTTAATTAACAACAGCAAAACCTGCCACTCAGGTAGGACAGGCCTTACCATGTTCCCCGCTCCTGCCCTTTTCACAAGGGAAGAAACTGAGAACCAAAGAAGTGAAGCACCAGCAAGTGGCACCAGAATGAGGACCGGTGCTCAGGTAGATCCGAGTCCAGTGCTTGGTGGGGTCAGGTCCCTGAGGCAGGTGGATGAGGTGGGTGACAAATTCTTCAGGAAACAGATTCCATCACTGATGACCTTTGTGACTTTGAACTTTTCCGGGTCTCAGTTTCTTCATCTGTAGACTGAGAGGATTGGACTAGAACAGTGGCTCTCCACCTTCCTAATGCCACGACCCTTTAATACAGTTCCTCATGTTGTGGTGACCCCCAACCATAAAATTATTTTCATTGCTACTTCATAACTGTAATTTTGCTACTGTTATGCATCGTAATATAAATATCTGACATGCAGGATGTATTTTCATTGTTACAAATTGAGCATAATTAAAGCATAGTGATTAATCACAAAGACAATATGTAATTATATATTCAATATGTGTTTTCCGATGGTCTTAGGCGACCCCTGTGAAAGGGTCGTTCGACCCCCAAAGGGGTCGCGACCCACAGGTTGAGAACCTCTGGACTAGAAGATTGTTAATTCCCTATGGCTCTGAAATGGAGCAGTAACTGCTGAGTTCAGCAGCCACTTGTCTTGCTGGGATGGCACCAGACTGCCACCTGCAGTCAGCCTGGAGCAAGCCGTGCTTGAGTACAGATGGCCTGGCACAGCCACTCACATGACACTCTGGTGCGTCATGTTGAACCCCAAGTGGTTGGTGCTGATCTGTTCCAGACCAAAAGGGGGGTTGGGTTCTCTATAGAGGGGCCAGGTGAATGGATCTGGGAAGGTAAAGGCTGTCTTTAATAGGCTAAGTAGCAAACCCTACAATCCCGAGCAGCCTCTGCATTACACTCCCACAATACATTTAACTTTCCCTCCTGGCGGATCTACCATCAAAAAAACGAGAGCAAAGGGCTCACGAAAAGGCAGAGGGTGATTTCAGTTGGTACACAGCTTTGTAAATATAAATTTGGGTCTCAAATTCTCCACCCAAACATCACAGAGTCTGCTATTCCCAGAGCTCGGACCTTAAGCTGTGCTGTCAGAGGAAGAAGCCATTGTCCTCACTCTGAGCACCGGCTTCCCACCCCTTCCATGCCTGTGGGTTAGACATCAAAGCTTTGGGACATCCCCAGGCTCAGTGTCTCCAGGACAAATGGGCTTAATTAAAGTGAAGGAAGGGGCAGTATGGGCGCTCCCTCAGGATTGGGGGGCTATGTGCAGGGGGTGGAGATCAGGAGGAGGATGCCGGAGCTTTCCCTACTGGAGGATGCTAAATTAATTCAGATGAACCAAAGGGAGTTTTTTCTCCTCAACCCAGCAAGCCCTCTCTCTTTCACATCCACTCCAGGGGATTTACAGCAAGTAAGATGTTGACTCTGTTCACTCCCATGCACTAGAGTTCGGTTGGAAGGAGGCTGTTCTCAGCCTCCCTCCTCCCTGTTTAGGGCTATTTATCAGATTGACATTTCCAATATTGACGAGACCAGACTCTCCAGTGGGGATTCAGACAAAGGCCAGCTGGGTTCGATGATGCCTCATGACCGAATAAGTGTGCAATTACAGAACACACGTGTGCCCCCGTTCTCGGAGCCTGCACACCACTGACATGCTTTGATGTGGAAAGCTCCCCCCACACCCCAACCCAGAGCTGGAGAGGGTATAGGAAGCATCAAGACCCAGAGGCAAATGGAACTGCCAGAGGGTGAGGCACAGGGTTTAGCTTGCTAAAATCCAACTAGACCAGGGGTGGGCAAACTTTTTGACTCAAGGGCCACAATGGGTTCTTAAACTGGACCGGAGGGCCGGAACAAAAGCATGGATGGAGTGTTTGTGTGAACTAATATAAATTCAAAGTAAACATCATTACATAAAAGGGTA